TTAGGCCTTCACATGATTGTATGATGCGTAATATAAGTCTCAACTCTTTTTAAGATTTCAGTATCATTCTTTCGGTACGACGTAAAACTTCCTATTTTCTTAGGCTATCAACGTTGATCGTATGTCGCACAATGTAAGTCCTAGATTTAAAATAAAATTACAAAAGTAAACATCAAGCAACATTGCTTCCAAAATGTAAATCCAAATAATATGATAGTTTGAGAAGTCATTGAGGTCCTCCTCATAATCTATGATACCCCTGCCTTTCGCTCAATTGGTTTCCAAAATAACTATTCCATATTGAACCATTCCCACTTGATTTTCGTATGACCAATCATGAAAATCAAACTTTGAATTCTTGAAGATGAAACCACAATCTTAATTGAGAGTTTCTTAAGTGATATAGGTTGCTTGAGATGTAATTAGCTATAGGGGCTTGCACCTGTAGGAGAATTAGTTTCCCACATAATCTAAGCCCTGTTTAATCTTCATATTATATAGGAGAATGATCTGTTGGAAATCTCGCAGAACAAATACATATCATCAATTTTTTGATTTTCAATAATCGAGTGATACTCTCATCTCTCGAGATGAAGTATTACTTGTACTAACACGCTCGGTTATTCTAACTGTTAAATCTATGAGATCTGTTTGGTCACGTTTTTTCAAAAATCAAAACAGACTTTTCAAAATTAAAATTACAACTATATTAGATTAATTTATTTTCATTCACAGAAAAAGCAACAAACTTCCAAAGGATGACATTGTCGTGCATAACATACTTCTTCTGCAACTCCCTCACTTTGTTCTCAGTCAAAACAAAAGGACAGTGCCCCTGACGGAGCCAAAGAGGGTGTGGTAGTACTTCAAGGCCATTTCAAGAAATGAAAAGCGATTAGAAGGTGAAGCAAGAAAAGAAAGAAAATCAAAAGCTCGAGGTGCAAAAAACCATAATGTTTAAAGTGAGAAGCAACATTTATGTGCCCCATTTATTGGGCAGTCGTGCAAAACGAGGCATCACATAATGATAAATGTTATGCCAAACATATTTTCAAATTTATTCAAATTTCATCTCATTTCCAAATAACATTATTACATGTCTAAAATA